GTCAGAGCATTAGTAATAGTGATGTCTTGATAAGCAAGCCCCACTAATAAAGAATGAATCAGTGTCCACACTTTTGACTGGTGTAGCTGGAACAGGACACATTACTAGATTGTTTCAGAGTATTGCTACCAGAAGCATATTGCATTCAGTTGCAGTGATGCACTTCACTGAGAACCAAAATTGTTCTTCTTAGCTGTATGTTTTGCAGAAAACATTAAGGCTGAAGGTGACGGAGACAGTAAGAGGTAAAGGAAGAATGGTTTTAAATTACCCTTATGCTAATGAACCCATTAATGACTGCAGAAACCGAGATGTAGGGATAGTTTTCTCCACCAGTGGAGCTTTTGTGTGTCATACATTGTACCAGACCCTGACATCTTTCCATTGCCCGTCTGCCTCGGAGCTGATAAAGAACTACAGTAAATCTTTCAGCTAAATCCAGGGCTTGTCTCAGTCTATAAAATCACAGCATGAATTGGACCTGGACACCCCTCCCAGATTCAGCAATGCACATTTTATAGCACAAGCCCGGTGACAGATAGGTAAAACCAATATGGTCACCCCGTGATAACTGTCAGCTGTCCACAGCACCATACAGGTGTGCTGTATATTTGTTTTCATATAGACATCTTCCAGCCTCTGTATATAAACTAGTTAAATGTTTAGTTTAATGTTAGATTTGGAGTTTAGTACCATGCATTCAGTTTGAACTTGATTTCAACAAATAATAAATTTCAACCAACAATAACTTTGTTGGCCAGGACACTCCTGGAAAAGAGATTTTAATCTCACTGAGTCTTTTCCTGGTTAAATAAATATATTAAACTTATTTTTTACTTTTTAATAAAGGCATAGAGTTTCTTGAATAGTTTTGAGTGATGACACAAACAGATCATTGAACTAGAGTTTGAATCCATTCATGAAAATAACAGTTTGAACTGCTTCACAGAAATGAACTGTACTAGCTCTAACATCATTTTTGGTTCTGAAGTTTAATTAAAAACAGTATTTTTCACATTCACATGTTTGCTAGACAAATATCTTTTTTGTTTAATCTCAGGAAATGGCTTACCCTGAACGGCTGTGTGTCTGTACAGTACCAGTTTGTGTGCTGCATGTGTTTGCGTAGATTATTATTTGATTTTAGGTTAAAGGTTCACATTTTGTTTTATTGTAAACGGGTGCTTTTCCCAAGGATAGTCATATCAGGAGGTCAGATTTGTTTATACTTGAGTTCATACTTTAACCCTGGAGACAAGGATCTAATGACTTCGCTGCTGCTTGTTTTGTTTTTCGTCTTTTCTCTGAAACATTATCAGTATCAATCCTAATTGGCAAATAAAATGCTGAGCACATTGTTTTCAGTGAGCACTTCTTGAAACATAAGCCTCAAGGGGGCTATGGGGTATGACACACATTTCTGTGTGTGTGTCTGTAGGGGTTGGTTATTGGGCCCTGTGGAATAGGACTATACACCAAGCCATTTTCACATCTCTTGTGTATTTCTCAGGTGAAAGTGGGGACTATTGTGGGTTAAGCATCATGTCCAAACAACACTGTTTAGTGTATGATTCCAGGGATGAATAGTGAATCACTTTATTGTGATTCACAATTTTTTGGAATATACTGTACGCTACTGTTCAAATGTTTGGGGTCAGTGAATTTTTTTAAGGAATTAATATTTTTATTTAGCAAGGACACTAAATTTATCAAAAGTGACAGTAAAGACATTTATAATGTCTCAAATTATTTCTATTTTAAATAAACAATGTTCTTTGTACCGATGTACCTGGGTTATCACAAAAATATTAAGCACACAGGATCATGTGACTGGGGTAAATGCTGCTGAAAATTCAGCTACGCCATCACAGGCATAAATTACATTTTAAAATGTGTAAGGGATAATGTATATCCATCCGGTTGTTATGGCAGAATAAACTTTGACAGTCTGATCAGGACCCCGACGCAAAGCAGATTACAACTGCTACTTCACACACAAGTAAATAATTGGACACAAAATATTGATTTGAGTTTAAATATTTAATTAGCTCACTAAACGCAAAGCTTCTGTGAAGAAAACAGTTGCTAACAGGTGCCTTCTAGCAAAGATGAATGAACAAGTTCAAATTAGACAAACAGAATATGGAATATGGTACGGTACACTGCTTTAAATCACATAATTATAGGAACAAGAAATATTGTTTTGAGATAATTATAGATTTATCTTAAATATTGAGATAATACAGATTATAATGCTATTTCACAATATTACTGTTTTTACTGTATTTTTTAATCCATTGAATGCATCCTTGGTAAGCATATAAGACTTTCAAAAACATTTAAAATATCTAATACTGATACAAACTTCTGAATCATAGTGTTCATCTTCTAAACTTCCATGTCAACTTTTAAACAATTAGACATTCATGTGCATAATAAAATATTCCCCATAGTCCAGATGTGTATGCCAGCAACCCAAGTCTAGATATGCTCTGCTGAAAGCTTTACAGATCAAAATTGTATCAGCGTAATTTTCAGATTGGCAGTCGTGTGATACTTGCTAATGCAATTGAACTAATAGCCCTGCTGTTGAGTTCGAAATGGATGAGGATTAATGGGAAGACAAACTATATTTGCTAGAAATGTTTTGCATTGTCCTCTCACTAACTTTCTCACTAGCTGATTTATTTCCTTTGAATTTAATTTTCTGTGTAGGAAACCAGGTGGATATATGTCTGATGCGGATGATGTAGATTAATGAGTCTTAGGGAAGCCTTATTAATTATTTATCAAGAGAAAATGCAGATGATGGTAAAGGAACCTGTTTAGTCGAGTCCCACAGGATGCTAATTATTTGCCCCGCTAATTGTAAACTACACTGTGCAAAACCAGCATCATTAGCACCCACTGGGACAATTTATAATGATTAGTCTAGCCGAGAACTTGGATACAGTGTTTTGGCTTTTTGATCAATCAATGTCATAAGCTCTTAGGATGACAGCCATTTGACAGAGCAGATCTTCTCGGATCAGATTTGCTGCACCTTTCCTTTCTTCAACGCATTTATAAGCAGGAGCCAAGATACGAGTTCATGTGCCTGTGAAGACAGAGCCCTGTCCTGCAGTAGTGGGGCTGAACAGCATGTGGACTGTTAGACTCTATTCTCCCAGCTGCTGTTTGTGTGTGCCAGATTTCTCTCACCGCTGCTGACAAACCATGCAGACAGAGAGAGAGAGAGTTCACAGGCATCGGAGGGAGAATTTGCAATCTCATTTTTTCTTGTGTAAACAAAATTGGAGCTCTCTGTCACAGCGAAAACCATTTGTCTGGGAATTGAGGACTTTCTTTCCCCTGAGGTCTCACTGGCCCTGAGACTTTGTCATCTAAATTGACGGAGGATGTGATTTTGAGCCAGCATAGAATTTCATTCCCATCCTGCAGGCCTGCATCTTCTTTTCTGGGAGAAAAATGGCCGTGGTGTGGGAATGAGACATTCCAGTAGACAGTAATGCAAGATTGAAGAATTGTACCTGAAAGATCATTTCATTCACACGTAAGAGAGTTGTCTTTTCTGAGCAATAACTGCAGTGATGATATGTGAATCTATTTGTTTTCCACACCATTTGCAATCAATATATCATCTGTTAAGTCTTGAATGGGATTTTATTTACTCTGTTTGCTTCTAAGGTATGAAGCTTTAAAGCAGAATTGTTGGTAGTATTGTATATGGTATTCATTACATGGCGAAAAAAAGGTATGTGGACTCAAATGATGAACAGATTTAGCTATTTTAACTACACCCATTATTAATAGGTGCATATAATTGGTTTGAAAATAAATGTCCAGCAAATGCATATGTGTCCACTAGTGCTGTGTTCAAAATATCGATACGACGATGTATCGTCACAGAGATTTGACGATACGAGTATCGATACAGATGGCCCTGTATCGATATTGTGGCACGTGTGCAG